TTAATTTTTATTGGAGTATAGTCTGCTTTATAATGTGTTAGTTTCTGTTGTATAGAAAAGTGAATCAGCTATACATATACATATATTCCCTCTTTTTTGGATTTCCTTCCTACAGAATGGAATATTAATCAGCAATTAAAAAAAAAAAAAGGGGCTTCCGTGGTGGCGCAGTGGTTGAGAGTCCGCCTGCTGATGCAGGGGACACGGGTTCGTGTCCTGGTCCGGGAAGATCCCACATGCCGCAAAGCGGCTGGGCCCATGAGCCATGGCCGTTGGGCCTGCGCGTCCGGAGCCTGTGCTCTGCAACAGGAGAGGCCACAACAGTGAGAGGCCTGCGTACCCCAAAAAAATAAAATAAAATAAAATGAAGCCACTGAAACATGCCACAACATGAAGGAACCTTGAAAACACTGTGCTAAATCAAAGAAGCCAGCCACCAAAAACTTCACATTATCTCATTCCATTTACATGAAATATCCAGAATAGGGAAATGTATATTTGACAGAAAGAGGGGGTGGGAATGAGGGAGTGACAGCTAATAGGTACAGGGTTTCTTTTAAGGAAGATGAAAATGTTCTAAAATTAGGTTATAATGATGGTTGCGCAACCCTGTGAATATAATAAAAACCTTGACTTGTACACTTTAAAATGGGTAAATTGTATGGTCTATGAGTTACATCTCAATAAAGCTATTTTAAAAATCTAACTCATTAACCGATTAGTGGATCCTTCATTCTTTGCTGCCTGGAGCTATATCCTCTTCTTTAGAAACTAAGAGCTCAGAGTTGCACCTATCACCTCCACTTTATTTTTATTTTTTTTTAAAGATTATTTATTTATCTGGCTGCGCTGGGTCTTTGTTGCTGTGCACGGGCTTTCTCTAGTTGTGGCGAGCGGAGGCTACACTTCGTTGCGGTGCATGGGCTTCTCATTGCGGTGGCTTCTCTTTGTTGCAGAGCACGGGCTCTAAGCGTGCCGGTTTCAGTAGTTGCAGCACGTGGGCTCAGTAGTTGTGGCTCACGGGCTCTAGAGCACAGGCTCAGCAGTTGTGGCGTACGGGCTTAGTTGTTCCGTGGCATGTGGGATCTTCCCGGACCAGGGCTTGAACCCACGTCCCCTGCATTGGCAGGCGGATTCTTAACCACTACGCCACCAAGGAAGTCTCCACTTTATTTCTATATCAATCATTTCAGATAAACTCCAATGATGGAAACTTGCTCAAATAAATGCAAAATGTGTCTACGCTCAAACCAGATTCTACAGATTACATTCTCTGTTGCTCCACAGCAAGGACTATTCTCTTCTTAGCACAAACTGACCACCTTTGTTAGCAACCTTCTTTTCATTACTTGCTACAGTGACCTTCAAACAACTTGAAGCTCCACTTTCACAGGATCTCTTTGTTCTTGGAAGAGATACAGAAAGTATCACATGACAATGGCAGGCAAGAGAGCCTTACCTCCTAAATTGGCTAAACCCACCTGCTAGGGACCTAGTGAAATCAGCGTAATTCACTTGAGTGGGACTGTTACTGGAGAGAACTAGGGAAGGAATGACCCAGCTCTTTATTAGAAGATGAAGGAGATAAATTAGAGGATAGGCCATGTAATGGATGGTCTTAAAAACCTACTAGACTGGGCTTCCCTGGTGGCGCAGTGGTTGAGAGTTCGCCTGCCGATGCAGGGGACACGGGTTCGCGCCCCGGGCCGGGAAGATCCCACATGCCGCGGAGCGGCTGGGCCTGTGAGCCATGGCCGCTGAGCCTGTGTGTCCGGAGCCTGTGCTCCGCAACGGGAGAGGCCACAACAGAGAGAGGCCTGCGGACCGCCAAAAAAAAAAAAAAAAAACCTACTAGACTAAGAAATCTGTGGTATGGAATATTTTTACAGATTGCAAAGCACAACTGTATTTCGGGGATTTTCCAAGGTTTTTTTTTTGTTTCTTTTTTTAAATGTCTAGAAGAGCTTATATCTGATCAATATGCCAGTTACTGTGGGAAAAGACAAAAAATGAGGACCCACAGTCCCTGCCTCTCAGATTCTAAAATCTGAGGGGGAGAAATTAAACATACTCACATACAGAGACTTAAGAATAACAAGTATAAAAATATACTACCAACTCAACACATATTATTATGTAATACTTAAAATAATTGGTTATGGAAAGGAAGATGTTAAATAAACATCAGTATTAAAAACTAGGCAATGCCTCCCTAATGACACCAAGGTGCCCTAAAACCGAGTTCCCTTATGGAGTTTATGATTAATCTCTCTACCCAAAACTTTATTCCTTCTCTGGTCCCCTCTGACCTCAATCCTGTGCTAACTGAACACTAATCAACCAGAGTCAGATGACTGAAACTGCCACTGTCCATATAACATCATTAATGTACTAAAACTGCTGTTGTCAATGACATCATTAACGTATAAACTCAGGTTGTTTCTCCACTACAAGATGAGCTCACAGACCCCTGAGCCACGGACCACCTGGCCTGGGAGTCATAAACCAGAGACACCCTCACTCCCAAAACTATGATTAGGAAATGTCACAGAAATGTCCCTATGATGATTAACCCCAGCCTCTCTGTTCTTTCCCATGGAAAAAAAAAAAAAAAGAAAGAAAAAAAACAGAACCTTAATCTCAAAGACCAAGTTGAAGTGGATCTGAGGCTTGTCTCCCACTCCCCTGCTTGGTGCCCTGCAAATAAACCCTTACTTTGCTGCAAACACTTACTGTCAGAGCTTGGCTTTCAGCACCACAGGCACAAGAGCCCTTGCCTGGTTACATTAATAATCGGTTGAACAAATTACCTATTTTTAATCACAATTTAACCCTAATTATTCAAGTGTCATCTCTGCTGGTTTGTTTTTCAAATTATTTCAGTTTTTCAAAGATTCTCTGAATTTGGAGAGATAAAGGAAGACGTATTTTCTTTTAAGATCCAGGCCCCCACATGTAAGTAATGTTAAAAATAACAACTTCATTATTTCTTCTACTTAAGTACTTAAAAAAGACAGTTTTCCCAAAAAGTGAACTGGACAACATTTCACTTTATGATACTATGATCCTCTCTGTTATATCCCAGTGTTCTAGTTCAAATTTCATTTCCAAATCTTTTAAACATTGCTCTTAATTTATCAAACATCCTTCCTCTGGGGCCAAATCTTTTCAACATAAATAATACTTATGAAATGACAATGTCATATCACTTGGCTTTTTACTATGGATTCATATACGGATGACTTGGTCCCTTTGAGTTATTAGACACTATGGTCAATTTTAGATCGTTAAAAAAAAAAGTTATTACCATAAGTCTTTGCTTACAAATTACAAAACTTATTCATCTTGATATATGATTTCCTAAGGCACTAGAGTCTTGTTCAAAAGTCAACAAGCCGACTTCCCTGGTGGCGCAGTGGCTAAGAATCTGCCTGCCAATGCAGAGGACATGGGTTCAAGCCCTGGTCCAGGAAGATCCCACATGTGTCGGAGCAGCTAAGCCCACGTGCCACAACTACTGAAGCCCGCACACCTGGAGCCCGTGCTCCACCAACAAGAGAAGCCCCAGCAATGAGAAGACTCCGCACCGCAACGAAGAGTAGCCCCGCTCACCACAACTAGAGAAAGCCCACGCAAAGCAACAAAGATCCAACACAGCCTAAATAAATAAAGCCTTCATTTAAAAAAAAAAAAGTCAAAAAGCAAGTTTTCCAAACCTAACAACCAAGAATTTGGGCTTATCAACCGTGAAATTACAATCTTGATTATAATCAAGCTGAGCACTTCACTTGCTTTTTCAACGATCAAAAAACAATTAAGTGACTTTTTAAAATATGTATTATGTTAATAGCTCCTTCACATATTCATTCCTACTCGAGATGTTTTCTCCTTTTGTTGCTGTCCCAAAATGTTAATTTATTATGTTTTTCCTACTAAGTTGTTGAAATGTTTTTGAGTGAATAAAGTTAAGAACATGGAGTAACATTATTTGTGTACCTTATTTGAGCCTAGTCTGAAAGCAACCCCTAACCACTCCAAAATTCAATAAAATGCTTTGTGAAGTGAACAGTCAATTATAAAACAGCAGAATGAATAATCACATCGGAGAACGGCATATCACTCGGTTTAAAAAAAAAGCTAAAAGAAACAAAAAATAAGGAAAGAAAATCAACAAAAAAGGCAGAAAAGGAAAAACAGTAAGCGCAAAACTTTCCTCAGATGTTTCCCAACTTCTCCAAACTGACCTTTCTCCTCCATCTTCAAAATCCCCCGACTAGATGGAACAAGACCTGTTTGTTTAGCTCACTCTTTCTGGGAATACTTTTTCCTGCAAATGTTCTTCTGCAGAAAGTATTTCCGATTTCTACATGAAGAGTACCGTTTTGCAGAAGCAATAATTCTTGCTACTCATTAGGACTCCAGAACAGTTTACCAATATTTTTTGTAAATTACCTGAACTAGGCCGAATCCAAGGTTCCAAAGAGCAGAAAGTCTTCTGAAATTCTATGTCCTCTTCCTCCACCCTCGCCTCCCAAAAGGCAACAGAATGCTTTTCATCCTGAGCACAGGGCCAGTATTCAAGCCAAAGACTTTGTTTTAAAAACACTCATAAGGGGCGAGCCAAGGTGCGTAGAGTGCGACTAAGGAAGCAAGCAGCAAGGCGACTAACTCCGTGAACCCGGAACGGCTTAAAGGACACAAGCCCCAGGGAATTCAGGCCAGATTTCTCCCGCGCCCACCAACTGGCACTTTAGATTCGCTGACTTAAGCCAGCAATGTATTTAGTATTTAAAAACTCTAGAAGTCTAAGCAAGCCAGAAAATGGCTTAGGCGACAGGCGGGTATGCGGGACGCAGGAATCTTAGAACGGAGGAGAGGGGAGCTGGGGATGCGAAGGCCAAGCGCTGGGCCCAGAAGTGGTCAGCGCGTACCAGGCCCGGCCGGGAGCCGCGCGAGCCGCAGCAGGAGCGAGAGGGCCGGCGGCCCTCGATTCGACTCACCTGCCCATTCACCGAGCCCCGGTCCGACCCCCGGCTCGTGACCCAAACCCCAGACCCGAAGGGCCGTGAAGAGCGAGCACGAGATGCGCAGAGCCAGGTAGGCCACGGCGCCCGCGCCCACCCAGTACAGGAAGCCGGCGGCAGGCAGAGAGCTCTCCATGGCTTTCAACCAGGCCTCACTACCTTCGTGAATGGAAAAAACAAACGAATGAACGCAGGAAGAGGCGCTGGCCGTGAAGATGAGGACTACCGTAATAGGCGCTGCTCCTACACAGCTTTGGGCCTAAACCCCGCCCATGGCACCACATCCGTGCCGCCATTGGTGATCTATCTTTCTCTCTGCATGTAGTGCGTCGGTCATTGGCTGACCCTAGTTTCACTGCCCCGCCCACGACCCCCCGGCTCTCACCGAGCAGCGTTTCCGTTCTAAGGAGGCGGATCGCTCACCTGCCAATCAAACTTCAGTCCCGCCCAACGTGCCCCCACGCCCCCAGGATTCTGCCAGAGGGTTGCAAGTCTCACCGCCGCCAAATCGCTCAGGTCTCTCATTGGCTGGAGAAGGCCTCGCGATTACCGAAGCTTGTGCTCCGATGGGCCAATCAGACCCAGTCTGGTTTGAGCTTGGGTTTGAGGAGGGAATGGCGTCAGAGACACCGATAGTGAGTAAGAAGATTGTAGTAGGAAGTGGAGCCATGGTTTTATTTTCACATCTTTGTTAAATGTGCTGTCGTTGTTCCCGCAAGCTTTTCCGAATAAAGGTTTGCATCTCCTGTTTCTGTGCCGTCCCCACGACACACCTTCGCTCCAGTTACACAGCCTTATGGAGGGCCTTCTAAATGCCAGGCGTCCCTCCCGCACGGAGCATTAAATAACATAGTTCCCAATGTCTTGGAGTTCAAGGCAAATAACTTCATGGCGTCAAATGACTATAATACGCAATGGCATAAGAGCTATAAAATGAATGAAAGATACATTATGGGAATACAGCTTGATGAACAGTTAGATGGGGGAAGGGCTCCATGTTTTAACTGGACTTAAAGGACTATAGAGATTTTTCTTTTACTTTCCTTTTGTATTTCTTTTTTTTTTTTTTTTGTGGGGGGGCGCGGGGGAGTGGTGAGACGGTACAAAAGTGCACAGTCCAAGTACAGATATGAAAACCACCTCAGCAAAGTTCCAGAGACGTAGGACCACAAGGTAAATTTAAGAAATTGTGTAATGCCATATAGTGCTTCACATGTATTCCGTCATCCTCCCATCAAGAGTTTTTGTTTCTTTTTCTGGCAGGGATTTGGGAATCATATAAGATACCTAATATTTTTTCTCAGCCAGTAGGGGCTGCTGATTCAAGACTTGAGAGTTTCTTAAAAGGCAGAGACTTAAGGGTAATAATTCTAAGGGTCAACATTTCAACACATCTTGAAGCTAAAGTCATAATTTTATAATATTTACTTTAAGAGCCTTATCTCTCCCTGCCCAACCCCCTCTCTCCTCCTCTTATAGGATTAATTAGATATAACCTCTTACAGGATTATATATTATTTCTCCACTCCCTCTTATAGGATTAATTAATGTTCTTCATAAACTATCAGTTGTCCAGCAGAATTCAGCCATGTGAGTTGAGCTGGCACCATATTTTGTTTTAATTGAATTTGATATCTTTGGCTGGGGCTGCCTGTCCAATTCAACTGAAGTCTCACCACTCCTCTCCCTCTCCCTCACCTTCATCCTCTCTGTCTTGTCAAAACCTTTGCCTACAGTACAGCCCCAAATTTATATATCCCAATTCATCATTGCTCACCAAAAAAGGGTCCTCCAGATATTCAATCCCATTCTTCTTAGAATAGGGTGGAAGGAGGGGAAAAGAGTTACATAAACTAAAAATACATATTTTGTTGCATTTGTATGTATGTACTGTATGCATATATAGCTCACACTACAATTTATGATTATTGGGAACACTATGCTGTGAATCCATAGGACCTAGAATAGTACCTGGAACTTGGAGACACTCAAATATCTAACAGATAAGTAGAAGTAAAGATTCATTCATTCAACAAACACTATTCTGGGAATTCCCTGGCGGTCCAGTGGTTAGGACTCTGCGCTTTCACTGCCGAGGGCCCGGGTTCAATCCCTGGTCAGGGAACTAAGATCTTGCAAGCCTCCCAGCACAACCAAAAATAAATATATTATTCTGCTCTAATTATGTACCAGTAACTGAACTCAGTACTAGGTATACAATAGTGAAAAAATGGTCAATTCTTAATCCTCATCCTATTTTATCATTCAACAGTGGGTGGCCACTGTTTTCCTCACCAGCCGCTCCTTCCCAGAGTCCTTTGCTGGTCCTTGCTCTTGATGACCCCTAAATCTTGCAATGCCCTTGGGCTCAGACCCCAGCTCTCTTTACTTCTCTACATTTTATGTAGTCCCTTGTTTTTTTGCTTGTTTGTTTGTTTTTGTTTGTTTGATCTTGGCCACCCCACGCAGCTTGCAGGATCTCAGTTCCCTGACCAAGGATTGAACCTGGGCCGTGGCAGTGAAAGCACCGAATCCTAACCACTATACCACCAGGGAACTACCACAGTCCCTTGTTTTTAAATATCAACTGTAAGCGGATAATTTCCAAATGTCTCTAGCCAGACCAGAGTGTGTATACACACACACACACACACACACACAAACACACACACACATCTCCACCTGCCTACCCAACATCTCCACTCAGATGTTCAATAAAAATAAACACCTCAAATTTAACATTCAAAACAGAGCTCTACTCCTACCATACACACACCCCTCCCTTCCCCTGTTAAAGGCACCACTATATACCCACTTCTGAAAGCCCAAAATCTAGGGGTCAACCTTGATTTGATTTTTTTGCCTTTCCATTGCATTCCAGTATCCAATTCTTCAGCAAGTCTTTTTCATTCTACCTCCAAAATATACCTTGACAGGCCACTTCCCCCACTTCTGCTCCTACCAACCTAATCCAAATGACAAGTATTCCTTACCTGGAATATGGCAATAGCCTCCTAACTCGTCCCCGGAAGGCTGTCTTGGCGTTTGTTCTCCATGAAGCAACTAGAACTTTTTTAAGTAAATTCGATATTTCTTTCGCTCAAATCCCTTCACAGACTTCACATCACGTTAACAAAATCCTCCAACACCAGCTTAACCGCCCTGACCTTTCCAGCAGTATCAACCACCCTCTCCTATGTTCACTTGATTCCAGCCACACTTTTTGCAGTTTCTCAGATAAGTCAAATTCATTTCAATCTCAAAGTAGTTTCACTTCTTGTTCCCTCTCCCTGGAACCTCTTACCTTCTATTTCCCAAGACTCAGTCCTTTACATTATTTAGACTTTTGCTCACCACTTGTGATTTTCACTGACTGACCTACATAAATAGACCAAATAGCCTGTCTCCTTTGCCCTGTCACTACTTATCCTTTTACCCTAATTTGTTTTCCTTATAACACTTAATGTTTTCAAATTCTTTGATTAATTTTTGTTCATCTTCCCAATAGCACGTTAAGTTCATGAGGACAGTGATCTTTTCTTGTCCACCCCTGTTCTCTTCACCTCAGATGTGCACCTAAGAGTGCTTGACACTTAGTAGGTATTCAATAAATACCCATTGAATGGATGAATGATGAATGAAGGAGAACAGTTTAGCAGGAGAGACAGACATTAAGCAAATATCCAACTAATTATATGGTAAAAATTGTAATAAGTACAAAGAAGAAAAGAATAGGGCTTAAAGAAAGAGGATAGGTGGGGAGAGGAGACTGCCCTGAAAGGCCTTTCTAAGGAAGGAGCATTTAAACTGGATCTAAGGATAAGCAGAAATTAATTTGGCAAAGAGTGGAGTGGAGGAGAGGAGAGGAAAGAGCAGCAATAGCTGTTACTGGTTTTGAAGAACACACGTATGTGTCTCTAGCACCTACCATAGCATCTGACATAAAATTAAAGAGGCATTAAAAAATAATTGTTGACTTTGGATTTTTCTTAATAAATAAAGACAGGTACCATAGAAATATACTTTCCATTTCTGTTAGCGTTCATATTAAGTATGTTATTTTAACTCAAGGAATATTGAAGATTGAAACCACCTCATTTTGATATCTGTTCTTTTTCTATAAAATCTGCGCACTACCCATGCAATTAACAGGAATAATTTTTATTAAAAATGTACACATTTATTCTGACCACCTCAACTTCCTTTTAGGAATATTAGTTATTCTATTGATTGTAAAAAAAAAAAAAAAAAAAGAGGCTTCACAGAGTGAAGTGGACCATGACAGAGTTAAGCCCTTTCTGGTTCAGACAATTACACACTTTTGGAATTGAACAACAATCCTTTGCCCCTGGATAAAATTTATGAACCACTTAAAACACTAATACATACAGGAACCTATGGTGGTCTACTCCTATTCAGCAGTATTCTGTGCTAAAATTTAATATAGACCACAGTTCCCAGAGATTGGTAGAAACATATGAAACCATTAGAAACTCTCCGAAGAGGGAGCAAAACTATAAAACTTTGGGCTTGGTGTCAGGGAAATCTGGGACAAGATCCTACTTCTACCTCTTATTAGCTGTATGATCTTGGGTGGATTTAGCTACTAAGCATTCAAATTCTACATCTGTAAAATGCGGCAATACTACTTAAGCAGTGATTGGCACAGAGACATTGTGTTCAGAGAGGTTGGTACTACTTTTATCCCCATTTTACAGATGAGCAAAGTGAGGCTTAAAACATTTACATAATTTTCCTATAGACACAGAGAAACTAAGTAGTAGAATTGGGATTTCAATTTAAAAGCTGTGGTTGAGAAAACCATAATCTGAAAGGATATACACACCCCAATGTTCATTGTAGCACTATTTACAATAGCGAAGGCATGGAAGCAACCTAAATGTCCATCATCAGAGGAATGGGTAAAAAAGATGTGGTACGTATATACAATGGAATACTACTCAGCCATAAAAAAGAATGAAATAATGTTATTTGCAGCAACATGGATGGATCTAGAGGTTATCATACTAAGTGAAGTAAGTCAGAGAAAGATAAATATATGATATCACTCATGTGTGGAATCTAATTTAAAAAATGAAGATACAAATGAACTTATTTACAGAACAGAAACAGACT